ATTAAGAAGACAAATAAGTAGGCAAAATCAGTACAACTTACATAGAAATTAAGAAACTGAATAAAAAATTAAAAAAATTAAAACAAATATTTTACACTAATCTATTGAAATCATAAACTGAATCTAACATGTAATTTCTTATATCTTTCTCTGCATTATCTATTTTATGCGAACTTGTGGATATTTTTATGGACATGTGGTAATAATTTAGATGTTAATATAGATTATAATTATAATTATTGGTTAATATTTTTTGGAAAACCTTAGAATCAAATAACTTCAGCTTTTAGAATTAACATGTATATTTTTATAGCTAATATGTTTGTAACAAAAATGGTGGTAAAATTATTTTTTCATAATAAAGAAAGTATTCTTTAAACATGTACATATACAATATACACATATTTAAAAATATTTTACTAGTATATTTAGTTTTAGTTATTTATATTGGGACCACTATTTTGTTTAAGAAATGTTTCTAATTTGATATCATGTTTGTTTTTTGTTGTTAATGAAAATTTTATACATAATTTTCTTATTTTTTATTTGTTTTTTATTAGCAATAATATTAGAATTTAAAAAACTTTCTTATTTTAGATATTGATATGGACCAATAGAATTATCATTTTTAATCTTATATTGACACTTTTTAAGGCATTTAGCTTCAAGTTTTATTAGTAATAGGATTTCAGACGCTTTGATTGTAAAAATAAGTTTACAAAAAAGCTAAATGATTTAACATAAACATATATATCCTATTAAAAAAAAATTTGAGTTTTTTCATTCATTTAGAAAGATTGGTTATAGGTTATATTAATCAATTTGAAATTTTTTATTTATGAATTATAAAATCTAATTTACAATCGAATTATATGGTTCAAAATTATAAAGATTACCCATTTTGATTATAAATATTTTATATATTATCTGCATAACACATATGATCCAATCTAGTATATATATGTAGGCAAACATATAAATTAAGTATGTATATGAGTTTACAATTCTCAAAAAAAAAAAAATTCAATTCTTTTCAAAAATGTGGTCGATTGCTTTCTTGAGGGAAACAACAACCATAACTTTCAGATCTAACTTCATTTTTTACATCGATTCATCTCCGGTCAACTTCATATTTCTAACTAAACTATTATATCCAAAAACTTTCGCTGAATAGTATGACGATCCATGTTGTAGACAAATTGTAGTATTATCACTAAAACTATAACATATATTATATATATGTATTTAAGAATAATTACTATTATTAATTTTATAAATAAAGTTTTCTAATGAAATCATGTTAATTCTAATCACTCAACTTATATGCTTACGAATATCTCCAATAGATATCTTATTAACTTTAAAATATTTTTTTATTAATTTTTATTTTAAGATAAATTTACTTTTTTATCTTTTTAACTTTATCTATGATTATAATTTGTTTATTATATTAATATTATATGATATAATTTAATCAATTTTTTTCTTTATATGTTACAACAGGATCGATTGACTTGGCATGTATTTATGAAGATTATATGAATTAATAAATTTAAAACGTCCAATTTTATATAATAAAATTAGATTCAAATACATAAATATAATGCTTTTATGAATTAAAAACATAGAAACTAATTATATGTTTTCTCCTTTTAATGGATCTTAATCAGGGTCTTAGGATAGATATTATAAAGTTATTGGGTGAATGTTTAATAATCGGAAAGATGTAGGTCACCAAAAATGAAATATTTTATCGGCGGAATCTGACCACTCAGTCATGACGACTATCTTCTTCCCACATCAAAAATTTGCTCCTTTGCAAAGCCCAAAATTACGAACTTTTTTTCGTTTCTTACTTTTTTGAATTCGTAAGAAACGATTCCGGTGAGAAGAAGCATTTCCTCATGAACTGATTCTATAATCCATCGTTAAGAGATGTCTACCACATTGTTCAGAACGATTCAGCCAAACCAGTTCTCGCTTTTCGGAAGCACCTTGTTAAGATGGAGAAGGAGTAGCAACTTCTCCGTGAGGTGTTGCGGAAGCCAAACAACGACGACGACCCAGAAAATTAAACAGCCTTCTCAATCGAGAATCGCACCAAAAAACCATGGAAGCAACAAGCTTGATGAGATTCTGAGAGATTACGAGGCTGTAATCGGCATAGAGACTCATGTTCAGCTCTCGACATTAACAAAGGCCTTTTGCAATTGCCCCAACAGTTACGGGTCGCATCCGAACACAAGTATCTGTCCCGTTTGTATGGGTTTGCCTGGTGCTTTGCCTGTTTTGAACTCAAAAGTTGTCGAATTTGGTGTTAGATTGGGTTTAGCTTTGAATTGCGATCTCTCTCTCAAGTCCAAGTTTGATAGGAAGCAGTATTTCTACCCAGATCTTCCTAAAGGTTATCAGATTTCTCAGTTTGATATACCAATTGCATCTGGTGGTTTTGTGGATGTGGATATTCCTCTTGAGTTTGGTGGGGGACACAGGAGATTTGGTATCACTAGGGTTCACATGGAAGAAGATGCTGGCAAGTTGCTCCATTCAGACACTGGAGATTACTCTCAGGCAAGGAGTTTATGAAAAAACCTCAGTTTGGTTTATTGTTAGGATGCTAAGGGTTTTAGGCTTTAGGGGCTTAAGTAGAACATCTTGTAGGAAGCTCATAAGACGTCATTGAAATGTTTGAATATCATGAATACTAAGCAATGACTGTATCATTATACTTTCACGAATCTTTGTCCCTGTGTCTTATAAAGCAGGAAAAAATTGATTTTGCTTACATGTAAGGCTTGCGATAACCAAAATGATCAAAGCAAAAATGGGATCATTGCTATGCAAACAGATTCTTGGTTTAGGTTTTAGGGGTTTATGTGGAACCTGCAAGATGTCTTTGTTTCTTATTTTTGGTGTACTCTATGGTGCAGGTAGATCTGAATAGAGCAGGAGTACCTTTGCTTGAGATTGTTTCTGAACCTGATATGAGAACTGGGATAGAAGCCGCTGAATACGCTAGTGAAATGCAACGGATTGTGAGGTATTTGGGAGTTAGTAATGGGAATATGCAAGAAGGCTCTCTTCGCTGCGATGTCAATATCTCAATCCGTCCAATTGGGCAAACTGAGTTTGGCACCAAGGTCAAGAAGTTTCCTTTACTGCATCAAATTTTGTGTGTGTTTCTTTCTTTGTCATTTGTAGATTCTGAGTTTAACCAGTGAAGGGATGATCTAATTCAATGCATTTTCATTTTTATCTAGTTGATGGTTTGAGTTTTTTGTTGTTTTCAGGTGGAAATTAAGAATTTGAATGCGTTTTCAGCAGTGAGCAGAGCAATTGACTTTGAGATATCAAGACAGGCACTTCTCCACAATCAGGGCCAAGCCGACCAGATTGTAACCGAGACTCGGCTTTGGGAAGAAGGAGCTCAGGTTCTAAGCAAAATAAACTTGCATTACGTTGCAATAGCTATATCTGTTTTTTCTTTGATCATATCCACCAGCAACTAACTTGAGTAGATGTTCAGAAAACAGTAACAATGAGGAAAAAAGAAGGGCTTGCTGATTACCGGTACTTTCCAGAACCAGATCTTCCAGAAGTGATCCTCACCCAAGAATACGTTGATAGCATCCGTGCTTCTTTACCTGAACTTCCTGAAGCAAAGCGCAGGAGGTACGAGGCGATGGGTCTAGGCATGCAAGATGTTCTTTTCCTCGCGAATGACGTCAGTGTAAGTCCTATTCGCTTGACGTTGATAGTAACTATCTTCACTAGAAGACAATGCTGAGAGCAAAAGAGTTGAACTTTCTCATCTATTTGGTGAGAATATCTACTTTTTGTAGCACAGCTAGACGTGTAAACTGTTGTTAGAATGAATGGCTTAGGTTGCAGAATATTTCGAAGCAGTCATTGGTAAGGGTGCTGATGTGAAGTCGGCGGCAAATTGGATAATGAGCGATATTGCAGCTTACTTGAAAAATGAGGAACTTTCTATCAACGATGCTAAACTTACTCCCCAAGAGTTGGCTGAGCTGATAGCTGCCATCAAAGATGGAACCATTAGCGGAAAGATTGGCAAACAGGTCAGTTCAGTTTTATCCAAAAATGTATCATCTTTCGTTTGGAATTGGATCAATGTGATTTATTCCATTTCGCAGATACTGTTTGAGCTATTGGCCAAAGGTGGAACCGTCCAAGGAATGATAAAGGCAAAAGACTTGGTTCAGGCAAGTCCATGCTATTCTACATAAATATGTTGCTATAGGGTAGTTGAGCAGGGTATCAAACTGAAATGAGTAGGTTTACCCTATTGTAAAGAAACCATGAATGATTTTTGCTTCTGTGTGACACACATTGCAGATAACCGATCCTGCGGAGATCGAGAAAATGGTTTTAAAGGTGGTCTCAGAGAACCCAAAGCAGCTTGAGCAGTACCGAAGTGGGAAAACCAAGCTTGAAGGCTATTTTGCTGGCCAGGTATGGCAGATACGATCCGTCTTTGCTTGAAAACTTGTACCCCGTGAATCAGTTTAAAACTCATATATTGCTTTGGTCAGGTAATGAAAATGTCGAAAGGTAAGGCAAACCCTGCCTTGCTTAACAAGATTCTCCAGGAGAAGCTCAATGCCAAGGACTGATTGAAGAAGCTCAATGCCAAGGACTGATTGAAGAAGCTCAAGTTATTTACAACTTTTAGCTTTCTGGCAGATTTTGATTAAAAAAAAAAAAAAGAATAAAGAAGCAAAATTGCAGATGAGAATAGTGAAAGTGTCGTCTCCAATTACGGTTAAGCTTTAAAGATTTATGTTGAAAATCTTCTGAAAAGAGTTGATTTTAGATAGATTGTCTTAAATGGACATTGAATTGGTACATGATGATTTTGACTCTCAAAGTTACAAATCCCCTTCAACTAGAGTGTTCTTTTCCTACCTTTTCTCTTTGCATATATGAAATAAAGGTGAACTTTGCAATTTCTATTCTAGTTATTCAAACAAGTGAAATTAAGGAGGAACAAAAACATACTGTATATAACTCTCACTGAGTCAGAAAAAGGAACAAAGAGAGCCTACATGTATACATAGAGAGAACATTCCTAAGTGATATAGTAATATATTCATGAACTCAAATGTAACAAGCAAATGGTACTTTTGATACAGTGTCATTATCAGGCAGGAACTTAAGCTTCAGAGTTCATCATGCAGGCGTTGTTGTAGAGGAATATTAACATTTGGAACTGTATTTCCATCAAACTGTTGTCCGAGTGGCATAGCATCATCATTTGCTGCTTTTCCAGCCATTCGAGCTTTAATGGCGGCAGTAGCCATCTGTTGCAGCCTCAGAATCCCTATGCGCTTTGAAACAACGTAAACAACAGCGCAGACGAAGAGAGAAAATCCAATTATGAGGATTAACCTGTTGTTGATAGTGCCAAAAAGAGTTATTATTTACTATTATTCACAGGAGGAGTTATTGATAAACCACAATCTGTTTTCTTTCTCAAGTACCTGTCAATTACGTCTTGACGTTGCATTGTAGAAAGTAGATTCCGGGTCCTCGACAACAAAGACCTGTGTCCTTTGTATTCACTCTCGGCTTTTTTAAGTACTCCAGTAGATTCATCTATGAATGTAAACATGGATTAGATGTCAGTTTTGATGTCTTTACTGTTTTCACTGAACACTTAATCATATCAGGTAATATTGGCACACTATGAATGACATACCAAAAGCCACGAGCGTGTTTGTGCTTCTCTCCACTTCCTGTAACCCCAAAGGTCAAGAGAGTATTTGATCAAACATTATACCTTTTCTTTATGGGTTGGTTTTAAGCAGAAAAAGCAAACAAGATGTAAATGCACAATACATTTTCTGACCTGAACCATCAGCTGCCGTGAACGCCTGAGACTTTCAGTTATGCTTTCAGCATCCGACGTCACGCCAGCATTTGCTCTACAAACAACCAAGAACAATAGATTCACCAGAACTAACATTTAAGTGTGTACATGTTAGACCACCATTTCAACAAAAAATTCAAATAATAAGCTGGGTTAAGCAGGATTGATGTAACAGAGTTTCCGAGAAGTACATACTGTCGTTTACGTCTGAGAGCTGTGGACTCTGTTCCACCACCGAGGAGAAGCTCTCTCTACAACCATTGTAAACACACTCCTTATACAAGATATTTCAAAGGAGATGGCTGCTAAAAACAGCGTCAGAGAAAGTGCTTAAGCCATGAGATTTACCTCTTCTTGAGCTGTTTTCCTGATGTTATTCTTTGCTTGCAAATTAGCACTTCTCAAGTTTACCCTCAAACTGACCACAAACAAATAAAAATCCAAATTCAATAAAAAGACAAAACATATTTATGTGAACATTACTTTTCACACCCTGATCTGAAAATTGCTTGACAGAGTTAATAGGATAGGCAAAACTCAAACTAATCACCCATTTATGTTTTCCTAAACCCATGCTTACACCAGGATTCTAACTTTAGAACAAACTCAATCGCAAAGGAGATACTTTAATACACTCACGTAGCATTGAACGAGATTCCACACTACTCAATGTGACTCACTAACACAACAGTTTTCTTATAGATTGCACTACTTTATCAATTGATGATCAACACTCATGTAGCATTGAACGAGATTCCAAACTACTCCATCAATAACTCACTATCACATAACTGGTCTTACAAATTGCATTACTCTATCAATTGAATTGATCAATCCAAGAGACTGTTGTAGATTCCACAAGCAGAAAGGAGCCAAATTTGATTTGAGTGAAATTACCTTTGATATTGATTCTTCCAGGTTTCAAGCAGTGACTGAGTGGATTGGACCTGGTCAACAGAAGGAAGCTGTGGAGCGAGAAGGTCGAGATTGAATTGCAGAGAATTGAGAAGAGAGAGACCATCCTGAGCCAATCCGTTGAGTCTTTGTAACGAAACCTTTCCCTCGCCGTCTCCTCTCCTTGATTTTCCGTACTCTTGTATCGCCATGATATGTTCGATCGTCTTCTCGTACGCATCTTCCCATTCCCTCTTCGTCTTCTCCACTTCTACAACAACCTCATCCATGTCTCTCACTGAGAACTATATAAAATCAGAAAGAAAGTAGAGTGAAATCGTAATTTGCATCTATGAATTTTTTAAACAAATACAGATCAAAGGTCAAAACTTTTGAGCATTGAGAAACGCCATTGTTTGATTAGAGAGCGTACTCGAACGATCGTGGCTCTGCGAAACTTCTAATCAAGATTCTCTTCAAAACCCACAAACGAAAACTCCTAATTCACCATTCTCTGCAAATTTGTGCCTCAAACATCAGTCATCGTTCTCTGCCGGAGCTCGGATCTGGCCTCTCGGTAAAGCAAAGAAGCGACTGGAGAATTTTAATTAAATGAGAAATAACTGAAAACGACGTAGTTTTTCGGTACATTACGTTGGGGATATGAGACTGGGGATATCGGTTATCTTTTTTTGTTTGGTTTTAATTAATATCGGTTATCTTTTTTATTATTGGTTTTAATTGATATCGGTTATCTTGCAATTGGGGTAAAGTAATTCAATCTTTCTTGGTGTTCGGAAAGTCTTTGATAATAATTACCACGTTTAAGGCATAAATCACTTTGTTTTACGTGAAATTAAACTAGTGACATTGAATAGGTTCAAATACCATTAGACCACTATCCACTTGATTTTTTTCAGGTTTTAGATCCTAAGACATTCTTAATCCTCCATTTCATTTGGATATTTGTTGTCTACACCGAATGCAACTATGCAAGATCTTATAAAACCATATTAAGGCTGGTGAAAATCATCTAAACAAAGAGAAAAAACGAGTCCCAATATTCGTTTTACGGAAAATTCTCATGGTTAAAATTTGTAACAAGGAATAAAGAAGTTAACTCGATAAAAATAAATAAACAAATGCAGAACAATTAGTACATTACAAATAATGTTTTGTTAAAAATATTACATGATCGGATACATGAAAATGACAGTTACACCGAAGACCCAAAATTTGTAATTGCTGCATCTGCTTGCAAGCCTAGAACTGCGTGCCGTTTGCTAAATCTCAAAAAAAGCCTCAAAAAGCAAACCGGCATGCATTCTTTCCTGTCCTCAAGCTCTCTCTCTACATCTAAACTAACTTGTGCAATTACACTAACCCAAATAGAGAGGTGATCAATAACAGACTACAGTCAAAGCTAAGGTTAATAACTAGGAGATACTGACTACATCTGTTGTACTCAAGCTTGAGGACGTCCCAAAATTGCGGTGCTTCCCATCGGCTAGGTTAGCTAGAGAGTAGCCTTGTTCATGGAGCTGGTTAATCAACAGAGTCTCTAGCTGACAAGCCATACTCTTACCTTGCACCACAAGGTATAAAAAACTTGACCCTTGCAATCCTTCCTTTGCCCTATGTGCACGTATCCGTCCTTCAAGATCATCCGTCTGCAGTTTCATAACAACCACAAATCCTCAGAATCATAAACTTTCAATCACTAATGTTGATATGGTAAGCATGTACATTACCTGTCCAATGTACAACCTCTTGTCAGGTCTCTGCATCACGTACACGCATGAAGAACCAACTGTAGATGGAGGCGGGAGCTCTCGAGCACCGATGAAAAGACATTCTAGAGTTACAGGCTCAACCATCTTTCTTCCACAGATTTTGAGTATAGCTTTTGCTAGTTCCTTCTCCAAGCTTCTCTCAGAGCTGACTGGTTTGTGGATCTGCTGTTCATTGTTGGATGAAGTTTCGGTTTTGTCTGGTTTGACAACTCCAGACGATGCATCTTTTGTATAAACAGAGAGGTAAAGAGCTTCGGCTCTCTGGATGATTGTCTCTGGAACGCCTTCTCTCTTAGCTGTTTCAAACGCAAGACTCTCTCTGCAGACTCCATCTGTCAATCTCCAAGTTGGCTTTGTCTGCCCTTCCACATTTTTAGCTCCCATGGCTTTGTAAGTGACGTTTTTGGCTGTAAGAGGCAAACTGAAGATTCCATGGAGATGTGTAGAAACAATACCCAAACAACCAGTTGCGTCAAGACACTCGATCACACTACCGGCAATACAGGTTCCTTTAGCTGTCTCTGTCCCTCTGCATATCTCGTCTATAAGCACTAGGCTTCTCGAAGTAGCCTGGCTTACAATAGACCGTATTTCCGACATTTCTACCTGATGGCACAGGAACAGGTAAGAGAGAGAGCACTAAACATTCCAGTTCAAGAAACAAATTCAGTTTGGTACATACCTGGAACGAGCTTTTTCCATCTACAGGGCTGTCATAAGATTTCATATGAAGCATGATGGAATCAAAGTGAGGGATATAAGCTGATTCAGCAGGAACCATAAACCCGCAGATTCCAAGTAGAGCAGCCGCGCAAATCGATCTGAGCAAACTCGATTTACCACCACCGTTAGGACCAGTTAGGAGAAACAGTGATTGCATGTCAACCGTATTGTGAACAGCAGTCCCAGAAGCTACATCAAACCAATAAGGTGATAGACCAGACAGCTTCATTCGACCAGCACCATCCAATGGTTTTGCGCCCTACATTATCAAAATACGTGAGAGAAACATATGAGATACAAGAATAAGACAGCCCCAAGCAAACGACCAAAGCCATGAGTTACCTCCTCTGTACTGAATCCAACAAGAGTTGGAAAAACCCACTTTCGTCGTCTCCCTTCACTGTGCACAGAACTTACATTAAAACTAAAGAAATCAATATTTACTTAATGGGAGCCTATGCTGCACTGAGACGGGTACGGGGTCGGGAAACTGGGACGGGAACGGGGACGGGAAACGGCAAATTAAAAATTTATAGATACGGGTACGGTATGTATACGTAAAATATATATGTATATAACAAAATAATACACATACATTTGAGCTAAATTTTTTTTTTAATACTTCAAGAGAGTTTTATCATTTCCTAAATCCACAAATATTATACTACTAAGGGAAATAACCACTCTTGATCATTAATATATACTAGGAAAAATTTCATATTAATATAACCCTTCCCAAATTCCTAGAAACGTTAGAGAAACGTTTCCGAGCTGTCCCCAATCAGTACCCGTCCCCGAAACGTTTCGGACGTGAGACGTCTACAAACTACCGTACCCGTGAGCATATTTAAGCACATACGTACCAAGCATGAGCAAATAATGCTTTTGCAATGACGAGAAGCATAGATGCAAAGACGAGGACATTTATTTTTGTTTGCAACTTAGCAGATAGCTCCCTCAACAGCTCCAAGACCCGGGCATTTGCGTTCTCACTAGCTTCATGATATCTGCGATGAAATCATGTTATGATATCAATACGTAGATACAGTATTATTGGATAAAAAATCCTTATGGAACGTACAAATAAAAGGAGAAAGCAACCTGACTAAAGCAGCTTCAACCTTTTGGGTCGTAAACCATTCTTCTCCAACCTTTTTGCCTTTCGAGTCCAAAGCAGGTTTCAGCTGCTTAATTTGGTCTTCCCCTGCAGTACCACCCCAAACAGATGGTGTAAACCGTTTCCCCTTGAACCAAACAGACTCATGTTCTCTTGCATACGCTATTTCGCCCTTCGAGCCGCCAAGTGATGAAGCCATGGCCTTAATTCTTGATATAATTGGGTGAAAATCCTCAGTTACCTACTCCGATGTTTTGTTTCTTGAGAGTCAGAAAAGATTAAGCAAAAACAATACTATTTACAGATCATCATTAAAGGAAACAAGGTTCAGTTCTTGAATACTTACCGCTAAAGATAAAGCCTCAGCTGATTTTTCCACTTGACTGATTTCTTCCTCTATATGGATTCCTTTAACGCGGCCTCGCCAAGAAGACTCCATATCATAAAAGAACTCGTTCGGGACATTAGCACATTTACTTACACTCTGATGACTTTCATCGTCGTCTAGAGAGATCATTTCACCAATTGACTCAGAAGCCCAATGACATTCGTTGACCTGGCAAGACCGAAAACTTCAACTTAATCCTCATATTCATCAGCTGAGGAAACCAGAAATTGTTAAAACTAGATAGAGACATTTAACAAAGCATGCAAAACACAAACTCATACTCGTGCTAGAATGCATAAACTTACAAAAGTTTCAAAGTCAATCTTCAAACCAGTTGCCACCCAGGTAGGCTCCATCAACAACTCCAGGATTTCCACAAGCTCGGGATGTCTATGCATATGTAATACTTCATCAAGCACATTTTTTATTCGGCAGAACTCAATGTAGTTGGCTTCCCGTTGTTCAAGAAGCTTCACAAGCTGCACAAAGATGTATAAAGATGTTAGGAGCAGTTTTGCATTATGCTGCTATAGTCACAAAAGAACCCAGTGATAAAGGTAATTGACTTAAACCTTAGCAGAAGAGACACATGTAAACTCCGGAACTGAGCATGTTATTGTGCTCATGAGCTTGCACGTTTCTGCAAATAACAATTGTTTGGCAGGAAGAATGAGAAGCCTTAAATCATAACAAACCCAAAAGGAGATAAACGAAGAAAATTCTTCACCACTGGTCAAATTATACCTTGAATTTTCAGAGCAATATCATAAGCAGGTGGGTTTAGAAGAAGATCCCGGACATACCTGGAAAGGACAAAAAAAAAAAAAACGCAATCAGATTTCCACTCAAAGATGATGCTTTGGAGAATGTAGCAAATTTTTCTTTTTTTCTTTTCAATATTTTTTGCTTACAAGGAAGGCAGGCCACTGCATGTAGATGGAAGCAACACTTTCAACAAACAAGGTATGCCTTCAGTGGGTAAGGCACCTAAATTACAACAAAACATATATTAGCAATCTTTACCATTCCAAAACTCCCAAACATCCTAGTGAAACACTGTGACCTATGCCAACCAATTTGTGTAGCCGTTCCAAGATGCAACGGACGTGGCCGATTTTCTGAAGGTACGTTGACATTTCTAAAGGAAACTTCATCATCAAGACCATACACAGCTTTGACCTGCGGGGAAAAAAAAGGTATACCGTTGTTTTCTCACCAAACTGAAATGTCTCAAGTAAATTTCATATTTTAACAGCATCCAAAGTCTGTAGTTGTGACCTTTGATAAGAGCTCGGAAAGAGCATCTCCTTCAAACCATTCAAAATTCCTGCCACTGCATTCTCCCCAGAGCAGACCTCCTTCCCCAAACTCTCCCCAGCGGCATGTCCCTGCATGGTAAAAAATTTCAAGAATTGTATCATCAAAGACCACAAAGCTCAAAAGTTATTTAAGCTTACACAAATCATGGTTAGTAGTTTGTTTATAATAGTCTCCTGACACATCAAACTGATACCTAGACCATATGCTACACGCCAACATTTTACTTATCTGAAAATGAGTACAATGTAGAACTGTAGAGATTATGCAAAACCTGATGCATTGTGCCTCAATGATGCATGTAAGAAAAGATGATGACAGCGATGGGTGCGGAGCTTAGTGACCAAGGCTTCTTCTGTAAGACCATCATCTAGCGAGTATGCTTTCATAGTCTCGAATATAGATATCATGCAATACCCCCTTGCTGAGCGAGATATCCCTGTAATTACAAAACAAAAGCAAATCATGTAACTTATGTACAAAAAAATGAAGACTTCAAGTGACTGACAACATAAGAAAAGACTCACTTACCAACAACAGGCATAGGCTCCGGAAAGTCAAGATCGTGGTCAGCACCAACGAGCCCATATACATAAGGACTTCCTGGATGGGCATGCCTAGACACTTACAAATACATGTCAGAAAGCTGAATGTGAAGGGAACAAAATGTCAGTGTGGTTTGCTAAGTAGTAGGAAAATGATTTTTTCTGCTTTGAAATCAGATTTTCGGATTCTAACTTATTACATACCCTGAAATAAATCGACCTTTACGAGAACGAGCTGGTGTTGGCCCCTGAACTTCCTCCACAATACACTACAGTCGAGAAAAACATGCAACGACAGTCTTATAGAACCGTTTTAATTCTACATGCTTAAGATTAAGAGAATGGAAATAAATTGATCACACTCAGCTCACCACTGAATAACCGTTGCGTGTTAGGTCATCCAAAGTCTGACGAAGATTCTACAGAAAGAACAAAGATTTAAAACTGGATCGAAAAGAAGAATTTGTGACAAAAGAAAGATCAATTTTAGACAATGAAGATCTGAAGGAAAGCGTAAGAATGACAAAATGCAGCAGTGGTCCAGTATATATCTACACCAACTTTTGTAAGCAATGGCTACTAAAGAAGCAGCTTATGTAATGTGCACAAGTTCTTCCTCAACAACTAAAGAGCTTCACATCTATCCTTTAATAAAAGAAAAGATTCAGAAACTGAGATATCTATCTACTGTATGAGCATACTGAGATCCTGCAAACAATCCATTTTCCCATAAGAAGGTCCGGCCTATCTCTTGTTAAAGAGACATATAAACAAAATGTCCACTTGAGTCATGCTATTCACATTAAAAAATAAAACAGAAGGACGTTTTTTTACCACAACTGGGCAACCAGCTTTTGGAACACTGTCTGAACGAAGACCACCAAATGGATTTAGACCAGCGTACTCAACGAGTATACATGCATCTATGCCAAGAGCCTCATAGAAGTCTCCAACCTGAAAAGAAAGAACGGTTGCAGAAAATTTCTTCATAATATGAGAGTTAAACGGCAAAATTCTACTAGTTGTTCTAAAGTAACAAAACTCATGGGATTAGGAAAAACAGCAAAAAAAAATCGTTTACAGAACTGTCCATTTTGATTGAAGTTAACAAAGATAACATAAGAGAGAAAGCGGCATACTCTGCAGAGCAAAACCTCGCGTGGAAACCTTGACTTGAACTGCAACATCTCCCAGTTGAGGTTTCCATCTTTTAGACTGAAACGTAAGAAGCCATTAACAAAAGATTACATAAACAAATGCCACAAAGTTACTTCCAACTAGATTGCTTAAAGCCTTACGACTTAATAAAAATCTTTCTGATTCTCAATAAATCTTCATCAAGGAAGTATGTTAAGTCTCCTAAGTCATTACTAAGATATACTAATTGCTTGTCATTCGATAACTAAGCTCAATTAGATCTTCTAATAGTTTCAGTTAAGGAACTAACCTTCCATTCCTCAGGCTGGGGTCCAAACCCAATAAGTTAGTGTACATGAGCCTTTCGATAAGCTGAAGAGTAGATGGTTTCTTACATGTCTGCAATCTCTGAAAAGTGTTCAAGGAAGATATAGAAAAACAAATCAGTATATCGTGATTGTGTGCATCAGTCAACTTCTATCATCAACAGTTATGAAAAAAAAACACACTCTTTTTCTTTTTATTTAACGAATGACTTGAGAAACATCACAAGACACAAAACAGCCTTACCTCTTTCCACCAGACCAAATGAGAGAGATCTTTGTCAGTGAGAGCATCACTTGGCTTGGTCTTAACTTTCCTAGAAGCCGTAGTGATTCCTTTCACAGCCTTTCGATCTCCAAGACAGTATGTCCTCACAGAGTACCTTGTATTGCTACTTATCAACACCATATACAATTTCACAACGGATTCTAAGAACAAGAAAAACACAAGCACTCGTACGAAATCGCAAGAAAAAAACAAAAGAATTTGAAAATTTGGGGAAAATCTAAGTCCAAAATTTCAAATTACAGCAACTCATGTCTACAAAATCTAAACTTGCACCATGTTCAATAACAAAATTCCTAATAGTAAAGCTTGCGAAAAAGGAAATTACAGTAGAAGTGGCGAGGGTTTGAAGGAGGAGTAATTGCGAAATGGCGAGCGGAAGAGGAAGGCGAAGGAACGCCATTTAGGGAACGAAACGACGGCGTTTCTGGTCGCAACCCAATGCATCCTCGTGCTCTGCTCCACCACAAGTGTTCGACTTTTTTTCTAGGGCTTTTTGTCTCTGTCTCTAATTCAGGAGAGAGTAGCTTCCCGCCAGAAGACGGAGACAGACGAGGAGTCACCGAGTCAGAACACGAAATTTCGTTTTTTTTGTTTTTTTTTTTGTCGGAATTATCTTCAGAAATTACGGCCAGTATCCTTTTTGCTTGTAATAAAGTTTTATTTATTTAATAAAGTTTATTCTATGGCTACATGTAAAATATCATTACAAAATAAAAGCGAAAAAAAAACATTACAAAATAGCAAAGTTGTTAAACCTAGTACTTGAGGCCTTGCCAAAATATAAAATAAAAAACAAATAACCAAACAAATTTTACAAAAAAACTTGGGTAATATTTTAATAGTTTTTGTTTAGAAAATTTTCAGTCTTTCTCTTGGAGAGATAAGTTTCTTGCAAAACAAAAAAGACGTCAAAGATTCGAAAAACATGATGGAATGTGTTTTCCGAGAACACTCAAATCAGAAAGCAAGTCCAAAAGACCACAAAATAAATGTTCGGAGACTAGAAAGAAGTCGAAAAACTATAAGAAAGAAGATAGACTGAGAGTCCTTGAGAAAGATGGATTTACTCGGGCGTAAGAGTGAGAATGGGCTTTTTGCAATGAAAAGAAAGAAAAAAAAGATTTTGAGAATGATAGTGCTCCACGGTTTAGGAACCACCGTGGAGGAGAAATGAAATGAAACGACTAGAAAGTTGGTCGGATTTGCGTAGAATGCTGATGTCGTGTCAACTGCGTGAGGGAACAAGTTTTACCCTTAACAAAACAAATGAAAGCCGCAAGTGCACAGCTAATCAGTTGTAGTATTTAGGGATCGAATCCACAGAGATTTGTGTGCCTAGTATTCTTCTACGGTTTTTAACTTTATGTCTAGACTAAATTGGTTTTAAAGGTTGGTTGTTTTTCGCGAATTAAACTAAAACAAAAGAAAGCAAATAAATATATCCTAAAAAGCAAGTAAAGAAATCGAATGAAAGACAAGTAAAGCAAGTAAAATATTGAATGGAAGGCAAATAAAGCAAGTAAAATATCGAATGAAAGGCAATTAAAGCAGGTAAAATATTGAATAGAAGGCAAATAAAGCAAGTAAAATATCGAATGAAAGGCAATTAAAGCAGGTAAAATATCGAACTAAGGGAATTGAAATGCAGGTCTAAGTAAGCAAATAAAAATCGAATGAATTGTAAACTATGGCTAAAAACGTTGAGCTTTTGGGAACTCTAAGGGATCATAATCGGTTTTAACACTAAGGTAGATAGACTGGGATTGACGGAGAACAATATATGGGTTCTAGAGCTAGAGTACGGCGGTATGACTACGTCACTGTCGTGATTATAACCAACTGTTTCTCGCAACCCTGACCAGTAGGTTTCCACTCTGGCCCTGGAAGGGAGAGAACGCAAGAGATGCACAAGACTCGTCAATACTCACGATCTCGCCGCAGGTAGGTTTCCACTCCTACGGAAAAATCGCCTGTTTCATTCTAGGACTGATACTTAATGAAAACTTTCGCAACACTAACTATCTAGATCAGATACTAGGTGATCAATCAAGCATACATGCAATAAGAACAAGAATAAACAGAGAACAGGTCGAAATCCCATATCTATAAACCTAGATGTCTTAATCGATTATGAGAGCCCCTTTCGGGAACCCTAAGCCCAACTCGGGATCTACTCAGACATAGCTGAGGTCGACATCATCATCGGTTTTAACAAAAGTAATGAAAAACAGTAAAGAAAAGAGATAAAGAAAGCTTCTCTATTGAAGAACTCGAACTTGAACAATCTTCTACAAAAATCTCATAAAAACGGCAAAAGGAAAAGAGTTTCAGTAAAGTATCAATTGTTCTCTCTAAAAACGACCTAAATGACATGTATTTATAGTCTTCAATACTCCATGGTCTCTAGGGTTCCGGAATTGAGGCTGAGAATGACTTTGGGCTTCAGATACATGGGCTTTAATTCGGAGATTGATTGCCGCGGTCGGGAGTGTCGTGACCGTGGGGATTGAGTGGTTGGCCGCGGTCGGGAGTGTCGTGACCGCGAGGATTGAGTGGTTGGCCGCGGTCGGGAAGCTTCTGACCGCGGGAAATAGGTTGTTGGCCGCGGTCGCGTGACTTGCTGGCCGACTTCGAGTGGCTCCGGGGCTAATGGAATATCTTGAGATCCAACTGTTGGAATGTCTCCAAACCAAGTGCATTTGAAAGCTGGTTGATTCTTCTATAAGTTGTCCAATTTTGAGGGTGATCAGACGGTGAGAAGGTCTTCGTCTCTCCATGAGAGTTCTGACGGTCTGCATTTATCCAAAAAAGTCTTTTTGTTCCATTTTGTGCCTCTTTATCCCAAATTACCTGAAAAGTCTTTTAAAATCCGGAAACATAGAAATCCTTTGAAAACCTTTGAAAAGGGAGTAAAAACACCTGTAAAAGATATTAAAGTGATCCATAAAAATGGTCAAAATCTGAAGTGTGATGAGCTCAGTCTTCAAAACACCTCCCATGTTGGCTCTAGAGAAAATCGTGTGTGCTAAAAGTTTGTGCACAACTCTCACTGCTGGATGAGTAAGAAGGGCTGACTTTGATCTCCCACTATCATAAACTCCATGACCTATTTCTCTCCACAAGTTAGAATCCGGTTCATCTTCAAGGTAGATGCCATCAGTGTATGGCAGCTTAAGAGCTTCACAAAGCTCAGAAATGGTGAGAGAGTAAGGCTGTCCGCGGATAGAGAATGACAAGATACCATCTGAAGCTTTGGGGTTCCTCTTCTTTGTGTGGTGGAGTGTAATAGTCGCTAAGAACTCACGGACTAGCTCAGGATAAGTCGGAAGGTTCAGCTCCATGTAAGGTCTCAGCTTAAGTGCATCGATGTACCAGATAACATCCTCTCTGATTCCAAGCATCTCGAGTGTATGATAATCAATGCAAGGCGTGGGTTTGATGTTCAGCTTCTTAAAACGTCTTGCATAGTCCACTCTCGGGTTTGTCTCCCTCCCAATGTATCGAATCTGTGGTGGCTCAGGGGGTGCTCGCGTTTCTCTTGAGTGCTGGAGCAATCTCATCACATAGTTTCTTCTTCTCGGTCTAGCTTGGTTCAGCATGTACTCTCCTAGAGTAGCATCATCGGGAATGTCCTCAGAGCTGCCACCAGTGCGACGGCTCCTTCGGAATCTGGTTTGGTCCATTTGTCTGCAAAATGAAATGATTCTTGGAAAAAAATGTGAATATGGAATGCTGATTTTAACACATTAAGATCTGTTATACTAATACTAGTATAAGGAGATTAATTAAAACCACGAGCAAGCAGAATCGATATTGAATCAGAGAATTCAAGTAGTTCATGACTAAATTCGGATTTTTGATGTTCTTAACATAGAAATCTTCTAAAAATCGGTTTTGATGAGCAATTTCCATGTAAATTCTAAAGATTACCCAATACTAATCACTAATCACACAAGACTCAATCAAATTCATCAATTTTGCTGTTCCAAATTCGATTTTATGAAGCATGTAGAATCCAAATTTCAAAAATCTCAATTTCTCATAAGCTAGGTGTTTAAAATCGATTTTTAGATAACCTAAAAGGATAATCTATTGTTCTTAAGCTATTTCCACCATCAATAGACCAAGATTTGGGTTTTTAAAGAAAACCCTAAGTTCTGAAATCAAGTAAAAATGGCGAGTTTGAGGTTCATACCTTGCTAGAAAGAGAGATTTGATGGCAGAATTGAAATCAGCTTGGAAAAAGAGTGAGGTTTGAGCCAAGAATCTCTTAAAAAGCTTAAGAATTGAAAAATTTGTTCTTTCTCCTAAATCTCCAAGTCTTTTGGAAGAGAAGAGAAGAAGGAGTTTTGATCCAAAAAGTTTGTTTCTTTTCTTTAAAAAGCGTTTTTGTAGCAAAAACGGAAAATTTCTGGAAATTTTTAAGTTTACGGGAACTTACCTTTCTTGTTTGCACATTAGGAAAGTTTAAAACTTACGGAGGATCTTTAGGAGTTTTACCGGGAACATTTCGGGAAACACCGGGAATCACCAGGAATCACTAGGCAACACCGGGAATCACCAGGTAAACACCGGGAAATCACCAGGCAACACCGGGAATCACCAGGTAAACACTAGGCAATACCGGGAATCACCAGGTAAACACCAGGCAATACCGGGAATCACCATGTAAACACCAGGCAACACCGAAAAACGGCAGAAATCTGCGGCGTCACCTCAACGACCAACGGTCGCGGTCACATTCACGGTGCCGCGGTCGATGCTTCCTTGGCCGCGGGTCGGTTGGTCGCGACCGCGGCTCTTCCTCCTGCGGCCTTTGTCCAATCTTCTCGTCTTTGCTGGGCCGAGCAGCTAAAAACCTACATTTTTCTTCTTGGTTTTTCTAATTTTCTGATTTTTTTGTGTTTTTGTTTTATAAAATACCTAAAACTTAAAAAGAAAAAGAAAGCATAAATTGTAAAAAGGAAAAGAAAACTAAAAGAAAGAGTACCTAAATGGGTTGCCTCCCATTAAGTGCTTTTGTTTTAAGTCATTTAGCTCGACGTAAGCATGAGGAATCAGGCTGATTTGAATGGCACTCCACTTGATGTGCCCTTATCACTTCTGGTCTCTGGAGGTTTTACTTCTTCTCCTTGAGGAGCCGTCTTCTTTCCTTTACTCTTCTTTCGGACTTTAATATTGTTTAAAACCCTTTTTGTGTTTTCGATCAGCTCCTGGATCTGGTCCTCACTAGTTTCTGTTGTATCTGGTGGAATTATGATCTTGATCTTTGCAAAAGCTTTCGGCTTCTCCTTTTCTTTCTCTTTTGGCATGTTTCCTTTGCTTGGAAAATCGTCCAAGATAGTCGGATACATTCAGGAAAACAGCATGCCGATTTGCGTGATCGATTACTGCTCCTACTGTAGCTAGGAATGGTCTCCCGAAAATGAGTGGCCTCTCCTTGTCTTTATCCATTTCCAGGACTTGGAAATCTGCTGGAACGATTTTGTCTCCCACTAGGACTTGTAGATCATGAATCGCCCCTT